CAGAGGCTGAGGAAACACGGTAGAAGATGCCGTGGGAAGAATGTAAGAGCTGGAGGGTGGGTGAGCGCGTTGTGTAATGCTGTCTTCTGGCTTGACATGACTATTGAACTTACGGGCTCATAGCAGCTATGATGAGCACTCCAAGATCAAGCTGACCAACACTGCTGCACGTGTGCTGGAAGAAAGCTGCACAGTAATGGGGCCTCCTGAACCCCTCCCCTAACTGAGAAGCTATTGGCGGTGGGAGGCTGAGGAAGGAGGAGGGAAGAGTCATTTAGCTTCAGGGGTGTGGCTCCTAGTAGGTTGCCCAAGGTCTGGTGGACGGCTCCACACTAATGCACTTATGGAAGGCACTAACTGGCAGCTTGTTAAAAGAAGGACATGAAAGTCTGAGGCAAGCTTTGTTAGGAAGGAAGCTTTGAGGGATTAATGGAAGGAGAGAGTTGGGGAGGTGGGTCTGATTAAGATGTATGAAACTGTCACAAGACAATTTTAAAGAATAATTATTTAAAAGTATAAAGTCGTGAACAACAAAAAAGGGTATGGGGGGAGGATATGGTTCAGTTAGAAGAGTACTTGGCTAGCATTCATTAATTTCTGGGTGCAATGCCTAATACCATATAAATCTGTTGTGGCCATGTACACCAGTTATCCTAGCACTCAGGAGTTAGAGGGAGGAGGATCAGAAGTTCAAGGTCATTCTGGAGTCTGGGGCCAGCTTCAACTCCAAGACATCCTGTAACAACAGAACAAATGAAGCATCAAGACAGATCAAATACTGGTATGCAGCTGGAGCTTGGATAAAAGGTAGATGCCAGTAAGTGGAGAAAGCGGGGAAGCAGGGAAGGCACTCAGAGGAAAGAACTGACATGCAACCTGGACACAGCAAGGAGGCGTCATTGGCCACGCTGGCCCGAAGACTGAATCTGGATTGTACGGATTATGTAAGGCAGTTTGGCAAACTCAATCTTGCATGCTTGTCACCCTTCCTATCCTTCCGCCCATGGGAGACAGCCTTCATCAATCCCAGCCCACACCTTTTCAACCAACCTGAGATGAGATCTGCTTTCCATCCCTGGTGTAGGAGTGCCAAGATAAGTGAGGTAGAGCTGTGAATACCTTGTAGTTAGTAGCTAATTGGATCGGCAATGGGGAGCCATTAAAGTCTTGTAAGCATGGGAGTGACATGGTGGGAAATGAGAGCTTGTAGTTCAGGGTAATTAACTTGGCAGTGCTGTCTAGAATGAATGGATTCGAGTAGTTGGGAGACTGAAGGCCAGTTATCAGGAAGGTTACTGCAATGGTTTGTGAGGAGCAATCTTGTCTGATACTGAATGAATACTGCAAAAAGGGGGTACAGATGACAAAGCCAAGAACGGAAGGAACCTAGCAAATACATTAGGATGAGGACAGTTAGGGACTGGAGTGTGAAAGGACTTTAAATGAACTCTGAGGTTTTCTACCTTAGTGCAGGGGAAACTGGTGTCACCATCAGGAGGGGAGCCTGTGGCTGGTGAGGTGGTCCTGGACTCCTGGATGGGAGGTGAGGAGGGAGTAGAAACAGTAAATGTGGCTTTAGACTTATCTCTTCTACAGAGAGTAGCTTTTCTGAGCCAGAGCCTATCAGAGAACTGAGTGTAAGGGAAAACAATCATTTTAAAGCAAACATTGTTGCCCTTTGTCAATGAGCAGGGTCTAAAGGAGGCTCTTGAATCTCCAAATATCTGGGAAACTGGAAAGTCTTAATTAGTGATCAGAAAGGGACACCAGGAAGCGAAAGAAAATACACCTAAGCACTGTGCTCTTCCTGGTTCAAATGCTTCCCCAATCCCGGTGATTTATAGTCTAGTAACAGTGACTGACAGTCAAGAGTGTCTAGTTCACTTTTACTTTTCCCCTGGGGGTCAGCATTTGAGTTTCTCCTGGTTTTAAGCTGCAGAAGCAGTGACTATGTTGAGTTAGGGGAAATTTACCCGTACCCCCTTCTGGGATCTTTCTCTGATCCTCCGGAGGAGATTCTGTCTCGGTTTTCATTTTGTTTTGAAACAGAGTTTCACTATGCAGTCCTGGCTAGCCTGGAACTCACCGTGTAGACCAAACTCACAGAGATCTGCCTCTTACTTAATGAAGGCCAGCAGGGCCTCCCTGATTGTTCTTTTCTGGAAGGTGTTTATAGAGCGATCTATCCCAATTGGTTGAAGGAGAACCATAAAAGAACCAACTGAACGACCAGACCCCACGGCCACCACTTTGCTGCAACAGCATAATTCATTACCACGTTCTGCATATTATCCTCATAAACAAAGCTAACTGTAGCTACCACCAGCCCCATCAATGAAGCTTTTCTTTACAGCAATTGTAGACCTAGCTAGAGAACCACAACTGGACACAATGCAGAGATGAACGGATCATGGGGAGGCCAGCCTCCCGTGGATACGTCTACCTCACAGCTCCTGTATCTGTGACTTAGGGTACACTGTGGAAGAGTGGCAGAAAGACTGTAAGAGCCAGGGGAGCAGGAACTCCGCTGTGAAGCAGCCTCTCTTAGGAATGACATAAACACGACCAGAACAATAGCGACATCAATGGACAGGTTAATGTGGAAGAGGTCCTGTTTCAAAACATTGAACTACAGGCAACTGCTGAAAGGAGAATTAGCCTCTCTTGGGGTTGAACCCTTTATTGGCTGTCCAATGCAGAGAGAGTGGTCAGCTTTGAAACCATAGACATCCCAACAACAGAAACAGACTCACTAGGTTCTATTTATATATGCAACAAATATAGTCAAACATAAAGAGGCTTTCAAGTGGGGGGGGGAGTGGGAATGGGAGGAGCTGGAGTAAGGAAATGGGGAGGGGTGGTGCTGTAATTCTATTTCAAGTAAAAATTTAAAAATTAAAAAAAAAAGCAGTATTCTGAAACCACCAGCAGATGTATTTTGAGACTGTCCAGAGGAAGTTGTCTATTAAGCTGTGTACTTTGAAGCATTTGTTTACTTAGAAAAGTCAAATGTGACGGTGCTAGGTCAGTTGCCGCAAGAACACCAGAGACAGGCTAACCAATCCAAAGTCCTGAGAGCGGAGGCTGCTCAGAAAAACCTGCTATGGTGTCTGGGGAAAGTGCACATCTGACTCGAGATAAAGGAGACAGTCACAGCATTGTGCACAGGCACCAGTGGATAGGCTACCGCCAAGGATCCTTACAGAGCCCGGATTCAGGTGTCACAACCCTGAACTGCCCGTCTACATCCGCTGGAAGAATGGACCACAGTGGGGCCGAGGAATACACAGGTGTCGGCAAGATCACCGTGCTCCTGAATCCAGTCAACGTAACTGATCAATAGCGACTGGCAGGCTGTGTGTGTGTGTGTGTGTGTGTGTGTGTGTTGGGGAGGTGATTCTTAAACTATTTAGCTAGGTTTTATCCTTCTCTTTTGTTTTGTTTTGGTTTTTTTTTTTAATAGCATTTTTTCCAAACCAGAAAATTAGCAGAGGTACAATGTTCCCCACTTCTGTGCCTCACCTCACCCCCCTGAAACACACATAATTTTGCCTCCTTCTGGCACATAATAATATTTGTGTTAACAATTTCAGGCTTTCTGGAAGGTAGGTGGGGGTATAGAACTGGTCCGATTTCATCTGTCTTTGGAAATAAAAGGAAACGGTGGCTTCACTATTGAGGTAGAGAAATCTGCTCTCCCTGTTCACCGCCCATAGTAGTGGGACTATGTACTGGAGTTTGGGGTGGAGGCCCTTAATTCTTAATTCTCAGCTTTCCTTAAGCATCTGCCAGGAGATGGGTGTGCTCCAAAGGGAGGAAAGCGCAGAATCATGCCTTATAAAGATAAGACTTTTTAATTATCTGGATTTTTTTTTTTATTATCCAGACGTTATTAATACCTCTCCAGGATGTCTGTCTGCTGTGGATGAGCCTGTGCTTTTAATCTCAAAAGTACCAATGGGAATCGAAAACTAGCAGGCACACTGGAGTTCAGATGCAGCTAGGCCCTTTTCGTGGGCTCGGAGAGTCCTTCACCAAACGGGCCAAAGTTTGCTTCACAAAATAGTGTACTGCCAAATGGTTTCTGGATCCTTCACGGAGAAAAACTGCAAAGAAGCGGAAAGAGACCTCTTTCCATAACACTAGTTACTGGCTGGCCATACGCATCCTAAAATCATAAAATTTATTGTAGACCCAGTCATATGTCTAAGACTGGAAACCCCAGGCTGTCCCATCCCAAAGTAAAAAGCGCCACGTTCCTCCCACCTTCCTCCTTCCCGGGGGTGTCTGTCAGCTTCTCATTCCCTTTTAGTCCCCCCCCCCCCCCCCCCCCCCCCCCCCCCCGCAGGCTCGGACCAGGACTGCCGAGAGCTGCAGTTACCAGCAAGTGCCCCACCGCGGATAACCGGATTTGTCTCCTCCTCCCAAGCTGGCTGCAGACAGGGGACACCGAGTTACTGCCCCCGAAGGAATCTCAAAAGTAGACAGAGCAGCGCGTCGCCGACCGTTCCTTTCTGTCGCCGGGTTAGAGACGAGGGGGAGGATCGGGGCGCAGGAGACACCCCCTCTCTTACCCCCCTCTCTCCCCCACCTCCCAAATTTGGCAGCCTTGTGTGGCTCCCGGTCTGGGGTCTGGAGGGTGGGGAGTGTGGGTGCGGGGGCCGGCTGGAGACGCTCTCGCTAGCGCTGCCTGTGGCCAGACCCGCCTCGCGTCCCCTCTCGGCCGCACACGCGTCCACCGCCACTGCGCGCTCGCTCGCTCGCGCTCTCGCCTGGCTAGGTCCCTCCTGCTCTCCTTTTCCTTTTTTTTTTTTTTTTTTTTTTTTGGTACCATAGAGTCGCTCTGAAAACAGAAGATAGAGGGAGTCTCGGAGCTCGCCATCTCCGCCGATCTCTACATTGGGAAAAAAAACATGGAGTCAGCTCCCGCAGCCCCCGACCCCGCCGCCAGCGAGCCGGGGAGCAGCGGCTCGGAGGCGGCCGCCGGCTCCAGGGAGACCCCGCTGACCCAGGACGCGGGCCGCAAGAGCGAGGCGCCGGGCGCGGGGCGCAGGCAGAGCTACGCGAGCTCCAGCCGAGGTAGGAGAAGCTGCGACCGGGCTCCGGGCAGGGGGGCGGCGGGAGCAGTGCGCCGAGCCCGGAGGGGACCTGGCGCCCCGGGGAGCGCGCGCCCGAGGAGCGGGCGAGACGTGGGGTCCCCGGGGCCGGTGCGCGCGCGCGCGAGCCCGTGGCGATGCCCTGAGCGGCCGGCACCCCCGCCCCTCCCCCCGCCGCCCCCCACAAATGTTGCAAACTTTTGCAAGCCAGTGCTGGGCTTGTAGGACGCACCGGAGCGTTGACAGCCGGGAGACTCCAACCCCACCTCCCCCTTGATTGCATGTTTTATTTATTTATTTTTTTGCTTAGACGGGCTGTCCAGATTAAATGCGATTTTACCCCCCACCAAAAAGAAAGCGAGACGGAGGAGTGGGGGCAAAGAAACTTTTAAAGCGGTAGTGTCCTTTTAAGAAGGGGGAGGGGGTCTGTTTGTGGCTACTTGCTTCCTGGGTTACCTTTTTTGCTCTTTGACAGTTTCTCGCACACCCACTCCCCTCCCCCCTCCCCACCGGCAGCAGCAGTCGAGGCGTTTGTTCGAGTCCCCCCTCTCGGAGAAAGGCTTGGGGGTTCGGGAGGAGTGAGAGACCTAGGAGTCTCAGGGGGGCGGAAAAGGGGCGCTCCCCGGGCTAAGAAGGGCGGGGGGGGGGGTCGCGGGTAGCTTCTCCTCCGGAGCGCTGGAGGTGTGTTTGGAGGAAACGCCGGAGGAATCCGGGTCCCGGCGCGCGGGATGCAGTGGTGTTGCCCGGCGGGGCGCGGGGATCCGGAGAAGCGCAACTTTGTAGCCGGGGGTTCGGAGCCCGCAGCCCTGGAGGAGGCTGGCAGGGGGCGTGTGCTGCGCGCGAAGGGAAGGAGGGCGGCTGTGGAGTGGGGCGCTCCACGCGCGATCGGAGGGAGCGGCTGCGACAGCAAACAAGCCTAGAAAAGCACCCAAACTTATTTCCGTCCGGGAATCCTACCCTCGCCTCGCCGCGGTGCCCAGCGTTTCTGCAGGAACCCGGGGGTGATCAGAGTTGAGTGCTGGTTGGCCGGAGCTAAGGAGGAGCCCCTCCCTGGGCCATTGGTTTATTTCGTGTTGGTGCCTGGAGTGTGTGAAGGAGGGGACCAGGGAGACAAGGAAGCTCGCTCCCCTCCAGGCGTTTTTCGAAAGTGGCCTGACCCAGGCGCGCGCGGTGTGGGGCGGGGGGGGGGGGAGAGTGACTCCCTTCTTAAAGGTGTCAGAAGCGTCTGTGGGATCCCCACCCCCTCCTTCGGGAGGTGGGAGATTATTTATTTGAATGCTCCGGGAGTTTGTGAAGAGCAGGAGGAAGCTGCCGCTTTAATTACTGTTGTAAATAATGTATAAATCACGCCTGTCACTCCGGAGGAAGCAGGCTCCTGCGAGCCACCCAGAGGCTTGGGACACAGAGTCTCTCCAGCCGGGGTTGGCGGCTAGGGGGCCTGGGGGAAGGTGAAAGGAGAGCCGCTCCCTTCTTCTCGGAGGTGCTAGTTAGAGGTAGGAACATGGCTGATCATGTGCTGGCTGTTTTACAGTATTCCCCCCTCCCGCCCCACCTTAGCCACACCCCCTGTCCGGGCGCTTTCCCATTCACGGAATTCGAGTACAGTAAAAGCCATCGGGATGACATATGCCGGAGGAAGAGGGGGGGACCATTTAATTAAAGGCGATTTCCGAAGAGTGACTGCACTGAAGCTCGGTTTGAACCAGAGGAATGGGGGCGACAAGGACCGGGACGAAAGGAAAAGCGGGTGAAGGTTCGGGGGTGGGGGGCCGCCGCCTCGGGCCACCAGATCTGCGAGTTTGTGTGCAGCGAGCTTTTGGCTGCAAAGAGTCTATTTGGAGCCGGAGATTTGGAATGCGAGCGGGTTATGTAACAGGGTTAATCAGAAACGCTGGAGAAAATCCCCTTCATGTGTTTGGAGGCTTTTTTTTTTTTTTTAAAGAAGGGGGGGCAGAGTATCTAGGAAGTGGCTCTGATTTCTGGTTTGTGCCCTTCCTCTCCCTTTAGCCCCTCCCCACCTCCCTTGCTTTATTAACATCTTCAGGTGTCATTTCTGCCAGAAGGTGTGTTCTTGCAATAGATGGGGCGGCAGGCTGCAGAACCGAGTACAAATCCCTAACTTGCTGTTACTGCAAATTATATAAAGCCAGGGAATTTGGTATCATACCCCTCCTTGCCCCAAGCTACAAGGAGTCAAAGTAGAAGGAATGTGTATCTTACAAGATGACCTGCTAACCCATATACCCTTTACCCCCTAGAGCCCCCACACCGATTCTTTGAAAAAAAATCCCTGTCTGTTGCTCAGAGGAGATTTAATGGGAAGGAGGGAAGGCCCAGACACTCCACTCACATCCTGCACGCAGGCACTGGTTACATAACAGTCTGAATGAAAAAAAAAAAAAAAAAAGGAAGGTCAGACATGGAGGCATCCTTTAGCTAACACAGCAGTAGTAATGTCTTCCAGGAATTACTTGCAGTTGCAAACCTTGACCTCAGGTGTAGTGCCTATATTTCCAGGGGTACTAATCTTGTGTGTGTGTGTGTGTGTGTGTGTGAGAGAGAGAGAGAGAGAGAGAGAGAGAGAGAGAGAGAGAGGGAGAGAGAGAGAGACAGTGAGCATGCACCCGGGAGAAAAAGAGAGACTGTGTAAGTATGCTGGGTAGTTGTGATGTGCAAATGGGAAATGTTTGGGTTTTTAGATGATGTAATGGAGTTGGCAGAATATGCAACTCGGCTCCCGGAGTGTAAGCATAAGAAAATTGGAGCTGGCATCCCATATTAATGTTGCATAAATTACAATATCAGAAAGAAATTAACCTACACACTAGGTGATTATGCCTCTTAAACACTTAAAACGTAAAGGCCCAGACTCAAAACACACAGCAAACATCACCACCTCACAAATTAGCCTATTCCACCTCGTGGAAGGTGAATAGAGGTCCTGGGTGAAAGCGAAGCTTTCCGACTTGGGGGGTGTTTTCCACGCTGTTTCGAGGGCTCGTTTCCAGCCAGCAGATGCTTGGCGTCTACAGGGATCGTGGGTGTATTCTTATGACATTGATGTGACCTCACGAGACATTACCTGGGTAGATTTGAGGCTATTGCTAAATTCCTACATCCTGGGAATCTAAGTCTGAACGGATTAGAGGCCTCCAGTGCCTGGGCTTTCAAAATCAGATGTGTGGTTTTATAATCTGGAATCCGATCTCCCTGTGCTCCTTACAACTCCAAGGGAATGATAGCGGCCTTAATGAAACCCTTCCATTTTCTAGAAAGTATTAATGATGGCTGGTGTCATTCAGCCCCATCTTTACAGTACCAGGAAAGAAGAAGAAGAAGAAGAAGAAGAAGAAGAAGAAGAAGAAGAAGAAGAAGAAGAAGAAGAAGAAGAAGAAGAAAGAAAGAAAGAAAAGAAAAAACCACAACAACAAAAAACAGGCAAGAAGCAACGTGGCAAGTAAAAATAAAGTGAAAAAAACAAAACACTGCGAATCCCTAATTTAACGAGGCTTTTGGGGACTCGAGGGAGCTGTGAGCCTTGTGACATAACTGTTGTTAGGAACCCTTTTCCAGCATCTCCATATTCTATGCGTGCCAGCAGCTTACGCACCATACATCACTAGAGCTGCCCTCACAGGGCTGAGTACCATGTTCTTGGTGCCAGTGCACGAGGCTCTCAGGGCCCGGCCAACCGAAGAGAAAAGAAATGGAAACCAGAGGATAGGGTTAACATGGAGAATCTGGGGTGGGATTGAGGGACAAGCCCGGGGAGCCCAGCTGAGAGTGACTGCAGCATCGATTAACAGGGCCTGTCTGGCTCTGCAACCTACAGGGAGGCTAAAGCTGCGGAAACCTCCGCTTTGGAACTGTGTCTCCTCCCTCTTCTCACCAGTCCCTGCTGATTCACTTTCTGGAAGGTTCTCTCACCCAGGGGTATGGCAGCTTTTCCAGAGATGAATTTTCAGATCACCCTCTATGGCGAATGAATGATGGTTTCTCTGGCTGGGAGAAAAATCTTTTGCCAGAGGGATGGGATGATTTTTTTTTTTTTTTTAACTAAAGAACTTTAACTTTCTGGTAAATTGCTCATAAAACCATTTATAATTATACCCTTTAAAATGCAATGGAATAATTTTAGAAAATGCATTTCATGATAGTTAGGATAACCTTTCTGTTGCTTCATCCTAATTTCTTATAAAGAATTGAATTATTAATCCAGAATTCAAGGCCGGAGTGGCTAAAACACTTTTGGCACACCCTCTGTCTGTTTTCCAAAATACATTGGTATTGTAAGGGGTCCTGAACTTTCGAAAATGCCTGTTTCTGACACCACAGTGTGGCTGGTGCCCGTGCAGAAGCTGGTTAGGGCAACACTCCTCCTCCTGACTGCTTAGGGCACAAAAGTAGGTGTGTGTGGGGGGGCGCAGTACACTCCTTTGATGCCAAACAGACTCCTAAAGTGGGATGGAGAGGCGTGAGGATGTTAATAGCCAGAATTGTATCTGTGGATGACAATGTCCAGAGGACTTGTGGAGACAGCTTAATCGCTTTTGGAAACAAAGTCACCTAGGTCTGAAGTTAATCTTCCGAATGCAAGTACGAAAACCCCATGGGCCTTTCTCTGGTCAATGTCAGATAAAGGGGCACAGTTTTATTTTCCTTTCAAGTCAGCATTGTTGTGCATTTAGGAACTTGCTGTGTGACGTTGGAAAGACTCACTGAGTTGGAGGTTTTTGACAATTACATGCACATAACATGAACTCCATTTTTAAAATGGTACTGCGAGTGTGCACTGTCGTGTGTGGGCATCTGTGTGCGTGAATGTGTGCGCCTGGGGAGCGAGAGGTCAACGTCAGGTGTCTTCCCCAATTGCCGTCCAGTTTATTTTCATTTTATTTTGACTTTGATTCTTCCCTCTTCCATTACATCCCGATGGCAGTTCCCCTCCCTCCACGCCTCCCAACCCTTCCTCTACTCTGTCTTTGAGATAGGGTCTTTGACTGGACTTAAGAGTTCAGTGATTCCGCTAAGCTGGTTGGCCAGTGAGTTCCAGGGATCCTCCTGTTCCTGCCCCCCCCCCCCCAGAGTGTTGGGATTACAGGTATGTGCTTCCACACCTGGCTTTTGTACATGTGTTCTGGGCACGTTACCAACCGAGCCAGCTCCCCAGCCCTCATGTTCTGTGAATTCGTACAGCATGGTTTTTCAAAGACTTCTCATCCTTTCCCTGGCGTCTCTCCCACTCTGACCACCATGCTCCTTCTTAGCCTCTGTGGGAACTTCTGGGTTTTAGGAGGCAAAATACAAAACTGTATTTTAGAGGTGTGTGTAGGCTTGTGTGTGGGTGTGCGCGTGTGCTCACGTGTGAATGTGTGTGTTTATGCCCTGATATGACACCCTCTACCCCTCTGTCCTTCACTGTCTATATCTTCTAGGAGATGACAAACAGCTTTGTAAAGAGGTGTCTTCCACTCCTTCATGGAGATCCCTGATCCAACCGTCAGGGTGAATTATCAGTTCTTCCAGAGCAAGGAGAATTTGAGCTTGAAAGAGCTTCAGCTGCTAGAGCATATACTAACCTAGAATGTAGAATACGTTTCCAAGCCCCAAATCTCCATTGCTCTTGATTTAGACTAGCGGCCCCTTCCTTCCTCACTCTCCCTCCCTCTGTGTGTGTGTGTCTCTCCCTTTTATATTTACTTTTAATGCCTGATGCATCGTGGGAAATGTTGTTTAGAGCTAAGCCGTTAAAACTTTTCAACTAAATTATATAGTAATATCATTGTGTATTTTTTAGATTGATGCTTAAAAATAACGCAGATGATAAGTGTTTGAGTTGTGGCTGCTATAGAATAAACCTGAAGGTACCAAGGCATTGTCAATGAATTGATTCTTCTGTCTGACACTAGATTAACCCATGTATTTTTTTTTTTGTCTTTTTGAGTAAGTTTTTTTTTTTCTTTTCTTTTTTTAAGCTGTATGGTTTCCTTTCCTATCCTAGAGAGAGTATCAGGAAGGTAATTGAATCTTCCCTTGGAGTTTCAGAGTCTGACGGTGCTGTGGGGTCACTGTTCTGAGCTTGAATTCTGATTGTACATTACAGAACTGAAAATGGAGCTGGTGTCTGAGATCAGCCCAGGTCTGTCTTGATCCCGCCTGGAAATGGTTTCTGGTTTTCTTTCTGTGAAATCCTTAGCAGGACAATTTGCTTCCTTCTTTTCTGTGTTGCAGGAAGCAAGTCAAAAATTCAACTAGTCGTTCAGCCAGAATCTGAAATCTTTTTGTTTGTTTGTGTACTTATTTGCTTATTTGAGACAGGGTCTCACCACGTAGCCTAGATCTCAGAGTGATCCCCCTGCCTCTGCCTTGAGCGTACTCAGATTCCAGTGGTCTCCTAGAGTCTTCTTCTCTTCCTAAAACGATGTTTCTCAACCTTCCTAATGCTATGACCCTTTAAAATAGTTCCTCATGTTGTGGTGACCCCCCCACCATAAAATTATGTCATTGCTTCTTCATAACTGTAATTTTGCTACCATTAGGAATTGTAATGTAAATGTCTGATATGCAGGATATCTGGTATGCCACCCTCAAAGGGACTGCGACCCACAGGTTGAAAACTGCTACCCTAGAGTTATCGAAGGTGCACAGTCCTTAAGTATTCAGGGAGGCAATTTATTTTCGAGTCCTGTAATGCAGCTTCCTCTCAGGTAATAGGGGTGGAAACTACCAGTAACTCAACCATTCCTTTGGAGGTGTTGGCAGCGTCTGTTTGATAGGGGGCTCATACACCTGGAAGATCAGGAAACTCCAAGGTTCAAGTGCGTGGGAAAGAATATTTAGAGCTGCCCAGAGGAAGCCCTTTCCAAGCTATGGCCTTTGGGAAGTGTTTCTGGACCTCATCCCACTGTCACGCTTAATGTTAATCATTGATTAGCTTCTGCTGCCTCTGATGTCAGTGGGTTGGGATTCATGGTGTTAGGATAGCCAATTATATTATTATTATTTATTGACTATTTTTGGTAAAGGCATCAAGGGGATTGTTCAAAGAAATCGTTTTAAGAGAGGAAGCAGATGCGATAAGGAATGAAGGCACCACAGCTCACTGCGTAGGTAGACTGGCCTTCAGCCCCAGCTCTTCAGAGCCAATGCTGAAAGGAATGATAGGAACAGTCCGCTCTTGAAGGAGGAACGATTCTCCCCCAGCAGGTTTTTATGGCTTTCATGACATGACAGTATTACAAATTGTGTCACCATGTCACATGAGATGGTGTGTCCTAGTGACTGGTTTATCTATAAAACCTGAGTCCTGGTGCCTGGCTGGGGAGCCCTGTACTCAGCGATGCTGAGAACACAGGTTTCCCATACCTTCAAAGGTGGAGGAGGACCCCAGGCTATCTCAGGGTGAATTTCTATCTGTTTTCCCCACCAGAGGCTGTGAGCGAGACAGAAACGTCATGATACACTAGGCGTATTATCTCTCATGTGGTGTCGTCCTTGTGCGACTGGGTGTTGGCTCTTGTGATTCAAATTGCCTTAAACTGTCCTAAAGTAAGAAAGAAGTTTCTTCATGCAGGCTGAAGTCATGGTAGATGAAGTCTTCTGAGGTGCAAGGAAAGGGCACCACCACTTAGGGTTTTAGATCCTCGAGCCAGTGAACAAGGCATGCACTGTTAAAAATACACAGCTTACTCCAAGGGAGGACTTGACTGGATCCTGATGGAGTTTATGAAATATGAATACAGTGGATCACTGTACATAAGTGGTAGGTGTGTGTGTGTGGAAGAAGAAGAAATAAAATTGTGTATAAATGACACTCTGAAACTTGATGGAATTGTACACGTGACAGGAATGGTGACGTGTGGGTCCGTGCTTCACAGGGAGAAAGAGAAGCAGACTGAAAAATCCATCTGTCAAACCTGATGTGGGACTAGAAATTATAGAGTAGAAAAATCAGTTGACTTGTTTCATAGGCAAAGAACATCATCAAGGATAAACAGGAAGCTTGAAAAGAATAGAGGTGGAATTTTTGGGAAGGGGGGACCATACCCCCACCCGGAAAAAGAAAACCAAACCAAAACAAAACAAAAGCTAGAGGCCAATGTTTGAATGCAGAGTGAGGCATGCCAAACCCATCTTCAGCATTCTGGGCTATTAACCATTGTGGTGTTAGGTGTTGGGCTTATAGCCATAGAGAAGACAATACTATGAGTTTTCAGCTGTGTAAAGAAATCACCTTGATATTCCCCAAGCATATGTGTGTGTGTGTGTGTGTGTGTGTGTGTGTGTGTGTGTGTGTATAGATAGATGGATGGATGGATAGATAGATAGATACATTGACTTGGAGATGTACATGATGTCATTTTCCCTGCCTTGTTCTGATTAATTGACAGCCTATACTATATGCTTCTTTCTTGAAGGTGACTTTACAATTTCTAGGCACAGACATGTCTCGCTGAAGTGAAGGAAGGACCCACAAGCTAAGTGTGTTTCACTGGGTGAGGTATTTTGGGGAGCGGGGGAAAGAATGATGAAACGGGGGAGGGGTTGAGAATCATGTGTGAAGAGGTTAAGATACCTATGTGGGGCTGGGGACTGGGTGCTGCGGATGAAGGCAGGAACAGAGAGACACTTCTCTGTGCGCCAAAGAGAAGGAAGTCAGTCGCCAGTGACTCTGAAATTTTAAATTATCTCCAACAAGGACAATGAAAAGAGGCAAGTCGACACTTTGAGAAGGCTTGACGAGCTTGTCAAGAATGCCAGTTGACAAAGGCAGGTAAGGGAATACTTGGAAAAACAGACAGCAGAGAGATGGACGTGCTGGTGCGCTGAGGGAGCTGGTGGGTATGCTTACTGACTCTCCCAATTAGTTTTAGAGAAACCTGAAGAAGTGGACAAAGACGGAGAAAAGGCAGCCAGATGTGATCCTGAACTTCAGAAGCCGAAAGCCTCTGTCATCCCCTAGGAGCCTTGGCAGTCACAGGAATGAGCGAGTGGAAATGAACAGATCTTGAAACACCCAGTCGCAGAGGAACCACGTATGCTTATCAGGCCTGAGACCTCTTAAATAAACTGCATCCCCTTCCATTTTCAATTTCCAGTTGAGAATGATGAAAAAGGTCATGATACAGTCTGTGCTCCACAGGGACATTGCTGTGCCAACGATACTCTCTCTAAAAGTGCAGGGCATCTGGGAGGGTGAGCTGCCTATAACTCTCAATTGTCTAGGTAATGAAGTATCAAGAAAGCTAAACCAGATGAAATAATTTGATCGTCAAAAAATGATTCCTCTGATGGTGCTTGGAGTGGGCTGGCTGACAAGTATGAGATTGCCAAGTTAGGTTACCTCACTCTGGTTTTCTCTCCCACTTGGGGTGAACACGGATGGGCAGAATGCGGGCTCCTAGGGGCTGTGTGCGGAACTCCAGCCCTTCACTCAGATAGTTTTACGTTTCACAGTGTCGGAGATGGGTGTGTTTCGGTGAGATTTCTCAAGACCCCACAGAGCCACTTGGAGAATGGGTGCTATGCTGAAAAGACTTCCTGAACATTCTCAAACTTGCCTTAGGACCTGAGGGTGAGGGCGTATGGGAGGCATGGCTACGAGTGCCTAATGCTGCCCCTACCCCTTTTGTCAGGCAAAATGTGAGGGTGAGATGTGTCCTGAGAACCTTTTAGACCAGCTCCACCCTGACAGCAAAGCTGTTGCATCTACAGGCCTGGGATGTGTCCGAGGATGCATCCTCAGGGGGCAGGGAGGGTGTGACTAGAGGCCAAATCTGCCCTCTCATCTCATGCCCTTCCGCTCACGTGCAGGTCCTCAGAAGTCCCTGGAAAAAGAGCATCAAGTTCCCCATGGACTATGCCCTCCTGGAATATTGAGGGTATTCAAGTGCGTACACATGTCATCTAGCTCATATGTGTGCTCATATGCTCACATCTGTAGTGGGGTAGTTCAATCTTTCAGCTCACTGGGCACTTCTGTTATTAATTAAAGCAGGCATTTATTATGCGATTGATTGATTGATTGATAATGGGATAGACCTATTATAATTAAAGTAGACAGAGCCACGTATGGGATATAGAGTCGAGTGTCTGCTATGGAGAGCCCGCTGGAGCAGGCACACCCTGTCACACAGTGAGCGGTGGTTCTGCCTGGTGAGGTCCTTCCTCAAGGCCAAGCTTCAGGCTGCGCTCTCGATAGAGATATTTCCAAGAGCAGGTCCACAGATAGAATACTGCAAGGCCACAACAACAACAAAACAAAACAAGCTTGTCACAGTCGAGAACTATTCTTTTTTTTTTAAACTCATTTTTGTGTTTCTTCAGCCCACTGAGTCGAATTGGTCCTGCTCATATCCACATGGGCACTGGGCCATCCGCTAGAGCATGGCCAGTGGCCATATGTCTAATGAAAAGTGACTCTCGTTTGAGAGAGTGGGAGTGGGAGTGGGGTGGCGGTACTTGGCAGAAAGGGAAGGGGGAAGTGAGGATTGAATATAGTGTAATCTCCAAAAATATTTTAAAAGTGTAAAAACTGACTCTTTCTCTCCAGCCGGCCATTAATAGCTGCTCAGCTAGGGTCGAGGCCTTGGGAGACCCTCGCTGTGAGTCCTTGAGTCCACTAGCCAGGTCATGTCCAGAAGACAGCATGTCACAGCGTCAGCTCGCCCTCCAGCCCTCACATGCTTTCTGCCCCGTGTGTCTAGAGCCTTGTGTAGGGGGAGGGGTGGGGTGCGGTGGGGGAGGGGTGGGGGTGCGGTGGGGGAGGGTGTTCTTACCATGGAAGAAAGTCTAATTTATTCCAAATGAAAAGTAACACCATTCACTGCAGTGGACAGAGAACTGTATCTTTTTTTTTTTTTTTTTTGTAAAAAATAAAAGTTACAGTGTATGCATGAATGTGTATGTGTATATGTGAAATACAATTATATCAATAAATGAAGTTGGATCCACAGACTAAAATGAAATAATAAAGCAATCAAGTATAGGTAGGTCATCTGGTTTTTTCTTTCTTTACTGAGGTTTTTAAATTATGAATGTGCAATTTTTGCAGTGGAAAAAAAATGAATCTTTTCTTCTAAAAAGATGGTGTGTTGTGAAACTGGGAGTAAGTTGAAGAGTCTAGTTCTGAACTCATGATGTTTCAGAGTCGGTCAGGTTTACTTGTCTGCTGAACAAGACATTTTGATGGCTACATTTCAGAAAAGGGGCATTCAGCCTGAGTTTAGGAGGACTCAGGTTTGGGAACTCCTTGACCCTTAAAATACTTGTGGTGTGATGCCCAATGATATAAGCAAATTGTAAGCCAATTTGCACACACACACACACTTGCACCCATTTACGCGTGTGCACGAATACACACATGTGGGTATGTATACACACATACATATATTCGTGTATGCACACAAAAAAAGCTTTTCGCGTAAAGTATTTTTCTGAGTTTCACTGTTTTTGTTTTCCTACTTAAAATCTACATCGTGGCCCTGAGGATTAGCTTCATGGTATATTTAGGAGATCTTCCTTGTCGAGAACATGAGACCTGTCCCAGGTGAGAGGTAGATGGAGACCTTGTGAGGCCTTGGCAGGGGGTGAGAGTGAGGAGGAAGGTCCCCACAGCAACTCAGGTGGGGCTCCAGGTGCTGCTCATTATGATCTGGGGGAGGACAAATAGTGTAAATTCTCATTATTATAATCATGCCATGCCTTGATGCCATTTTTAGCATACACTTGTGATTACCCTATTATATGTCCAAGTGCATCTGCCTTAGACTGGCTGAGAATGCAAACTCTGGGGCTCCCCCTGTGTGGCTCACAGCAGACATACTTGTGTGAGCGCACAAGGCAGCATTTCTTTTCTTCCATGTGTGTGAATATTTTGTTTTCATGTACATCTGTGCACCACATGTGTGCCTAGTGTCCTGAATAGGACATCAGATCCTCTGGAACTGGAGTTACCAACAGTTGTGAGCTGCCTTGTGGGTGCTGGGAATTGGACCCAGGACCTCCGAAAATGTAGGCAGCGCTCTTAACCAAGGGAGCTGTTTCCCCAGCCTCCGAAGTGACGTTTCTTTAATTCAACAAATACTTTTTGGGAATTTTCTCTGCGTCAGGCTCTGTGCTGAGCTCTAAGCAGCCAGCAAGGAAGCTGGAATCCTGCCTCGCTGAACTGTCCTCACAGTGGGAACTTGCCTCACAGTGGCTTAGACTGGACGCCTCTGATGGTTTTTCCTCCTGGCAAGTTTTACCCTTGGTCTGTTTGACCTCTATAGCTTGTGTGTCTTTTCCTCTTCCTTTTTTCCTGTTTTTTTTCTTCCTGTCCTGTGTTCTCACTTCCTCTTCTCAGACCTTCTGGGATCAGTGTAGGGGCACCTGCTCACCTCTCAAGTTCCCGGTGGCCCTGTTTTTCACAGATACCTGATACATGGACCAAGGGCTCATTCAACCATCATGTGACCATTCCTTCCGGTTCTCAAAGGCTTTCTTCATCTTATAGTATCATGTCCTTGCTGCGAGCCTGTTCTCCACATGACCGGGAGCACAGTTTACATTATCACCTCTGTGCAGTGTCTTAGATGAAGTAGATCCCCGTCTGCTGTGCAGACACTCTTTTCCACGTGGCCCCACAGAGTTTTCCCAGTAAGCCAGCTCCATGCTTCGGACTTGCACGTCTATCTTCAATTTTCTTGTGCCTCTGTAAGGCTTAGAGCCAGCTGTACTCATTTGTTCCCTGTCTGTCTCTATTGGATCCATTGTTTCCTTCCATCCGACCCTCAGGGCTGATCCAGTCATGATCATCTCTGACCAAAATTGCTCACATCTTGAGCACGTACCAGAGTACGTACACCTGGTGTGTTGTGAAGTTGTGGGTATGCCTTGCGTTAACTGTGTGTCCCGGGTGAGTTCATTCCAATGGAAGCTGAGGAGGGTGATGTTGCCATCCGAGCTGGGATGATCCCTTGTGATGCTGCTTGCTAAGCACTTCCCAGCAGATCCGGGAAACAGTAAGTGTGGCTCTGCTGGTGGTGGTAATGATGGCTCCAGGTCCCCTGTACCTCTCTCCTCCTCCCACTCAGGTCCTCAGCTCCCTTGGCTTGGAGTATTTCTTGCTTGGTTCCGTGCAATATGCATGAGTCCCAGGGGCCTCAGTGAGGGTCCTGACACCTTCCTTATGCCAGTTCTCTTTCTGGGACTGGGTCCCAGCCCCTATCATTCAGCTGGGCCTTTCATGGGCCTTTCATTCTGCAAAAAGGTCACGTGACGGGAGTTGAGCCCCTTCAACTAATTGTTAGGGTTCTCTAATGTTACTTTTCAGATGGCCATAAGCAAGCTCCTGCCTACCCGTTTCCTCCCTGCATCCCCATTCTTCCCATAGTCCCCACTGGCTGTTGGCCTGCTCCAGGCATCCAGGCTGGAATAGCTCCATCATCTTTCCTACTGGTCATACTCTGCTGCTTTCTCTTGTTTTGTTTCTCATCGTTCCTCACCCTCCCCTCTCTTTACTCACCGTCTCCTCCCCGTCTGCAAGGGTTCCGTTCAACTTATTCTTCTGTACTGTTTTACTCTAAGCACTGACTGCTGGGTCTTAACATTGTAACCTAATAATTTACACTCACAGTGCAAAGCGATACTCTCGGACACTCACAGCCTGTTTGCAGTTGTATTACAGTAGGACAGCCAATGAGCAAGCAGAAAGGGTGATGGGTACCACTCATGTGGCACTGGGTAAAACCAAGCGAAGTAACCTTAGCAGGAGCAGAGGGGATGCCTGTGGATTATATATACTATTGGAGAATCAGTTCCACTTGCCAAGGGTCTTTATTGATTTTGCTTGTAATTGGACTAGGATAGGTCAAAGGGCAGAGGAGGAGGTAGCATGGCATGCTCAAGGAAGCGAAGGGAAAGCAGAATCCTGTCTTTCTGCCAGGATGGTTTGGAATTGATACACTGCATGACTTTTACAGACTTAATTGGCACCGTGATTAGGTGGTTTTATTTCTTCATTCTAACACTTTGGAAGCTGATCCTAATATTCAGTGGTAATGAAAATAGAGTAATGCTGTAATAACTGTTCCATTGTAGAGCAAATTACACCATTAAGCATCTATTTTGTCTAATTTATGTTGGTGATAGTATGGGACACACACACATCCGATCTCAGAGTATTTAAGAAAGAGACTAGCTAAGAGAAGTCCTATTCCTAAGATACAGTCAGAAAACAAAGATAAAGTGTTATATATATATATATATATATATATATATATATATATATATATATACACACACACACACATATATATGTGTGTGTGTGTGTGTGTGTGTGTGTGTTATTACTACATTTATACACACACTCAGGCACATGCACACATGCATACATATCAAGCAGAATGAGAAGACGGTAGATAGACTGGAATGAAATGATTGGCTGTATTGCCTTTAGCTTGGCCAGATGACCTGTTACAGCAGGTTAAGCTAGTAATGGCACCAGGTCCTTCATCCTTGTTGTCATGCCTGAGGACTTTGATTCCCTGAGATTCTTAAGTGAAAACAAGGCATCCCAGAGCTCAGGAATGTTGGTCATTTTCCTTTGTCATCTTTCCCCTCAAGGAAAGTGCCATAATTTTCGTAGCACAAAGATAGAAGCATATTTTTGTGCATTAAGTCATAGCTAAACCTTGAGCTGCAGAAATGGGATCTAGGGAGACAGAATTCAATGTGACTTCCCCATTGGGACATGTCAATTAAAAAGCCTCCGTAAGTAGGTTCTTGTGCCCCTTTGCCCCAGGGGCCTGGCTCTGCTGGTGGGGTGTGTGCATGGGAGTGAACAAGGTTCCAGTCCCTAGGCTAGAATCTCCAGGGAGGTCTTAAAAACTGGTCTGTGTGAACTCTGGGTTGCTGTCTCCAAGGTTTCCATCTCTAAGTTCTAAGGGACCCAGAAGTTCTGGGACACTTTGGCTAGGGGCATTGAGAAATCTCTCACCTGCCTTCACTCTGGAGGTTTGCTTTGGCAGCACCATCGACTCTGCTCCCTGCTGATCCAGCACCCCAGGAAGGCCTTATCTGGAGAACTGAGATTTTTATGTAGTTTAGAACACACTTACCTTTCATAGATAGAATGCTTGCTCTCATGACCAAATTATCGGAAGAAAATGTGCTTTCATAAACAGCTGCACAGTACCTGTATCTGAAATCAACAATGTTGATTTTTAAACCCCTGGAGGATTTAAATCAGAGGAAAGACAACATCAATGCCTGGCATCTGGATTAAGAATATAGTTAGTGGAGAAATTTATTGCAATCCTCCATGAAAAAATATCAATATCATCTTGTGCCTAATAAAATGTTATAATGAAAATTACCACGGAGCTTGACAACATCTCTTTATTAATTGGCCTTTTCCATGATTATTTTCTTAGTAGCAAATGCACTCTGCTTTTCTGGCTCATTAGTTATAATCCATAGTGAATTCACAGTTTGTTGCTTCAGCCATGCTTATCTTCCCGTTGGGCTCAGTCCCTCCAGGGCAGGGTTGTAGATTTTCTATAGTGTATGGTCTCGTATCTCTTGCCACTTACTCCTGTACCCATGGAACACCCCCAAGACACCCCAACAGGACTGCAGAGCACTATGTGGAGGCCAACTGACATAAACCTGGGAATAGACCAAAAGAAGACCTTCGCTGAAAGCTTCAGACTATGTCTTAGACAGAGAATTATGTGGCCCA